TGTAGATTTTACCCCAAATGCTGCTGCCTGAAAGCAGCAATTCAAGAATTTCTATCAGTATACATAAAAATGAGATATCTATTATACACTCCAGGCCTATGATTTAATTTTTCTAGATGTCATTTCATTCCCCAAACATTTAGATGGTCCGAATCATCTCCTTTTAAGAGAGACAAACTGAATTTAAAAGTTAAGGAACTTGCCCAAGACACAGAAATAAGCACTGAAAAGGTAACAATTAAACTCAAGTCTATCTAACTCAGAAGCCTGGACTTCTAACAATTATAACTTGTTTGTGTTAAAATTCCAGGATTATCTTTAGTGGTTGATTCAGTGTCTTATGTCTCCAGCCAAATCTGCTGTCTCTAGGCTGTGTTTCATCAAATACATTCTCTCATGGTTACTACACTGGGAAAAGACTCACACGGCATGCTTTTTCTCGTTTTGAGAGATAGACCATACTTTCACTAGAATTAAAAGAATACAAAAATACAAACCAAACACAGATAAACAAATTATGGCTTAGTATTCTGTCCTAGCCTAGAGGATTTGTAAAATTGATTGTAACTGAAAAGGCTACTTCTAACTCTTGCTAATGCATCCTGGATTCTCTACTAAAATTGGAACCAGAAGGCTCCGGATTTGTTTTCTTTGAAACAAGGGAAGACCTAATGACTGCCAATGTAGCATCTCAGCCCAGGACACAATGCCTCAGACTCCCACAGATTTCTAATTACCATGGGCTCTTTCCCCTTAGTCCCTAACCCTAAGGAGAAAATTATGAACAGTTAACGACTTAACTTTCTCCCTAAGGAGAAAATTATGAACAGTTAACGACTTAACTTTCTCCTTTCTCTTTCTCCTTTTTTACTTCCTGCTGCTTTGTCTTGCTCAGTCTTATCACAGACAGCTGAAGTATGAAATTTTTCATTTCTACCAATTTTAAATCTAGTAGTATTATAAGCAAAACCATCTACATTTGCTAGAAACAAAGATTTTTGTCTAAAGCTAAAAGGAATCCTCAGCATTTTCCACAACCTTATTCAGTGCACAAATCTAGATTTACATGTATAAATCTATGTATTGTCTTTTCTTAATTAAGAAGAAAGGAAAATGGTGACTTTGATATACCTAAAAATAATAATTTCATTGACTATTCCCCATGGAAGTAGAAGGATATTTCCCCCATCATGTTAGTATAGGGCTATAAATATTATTTGTTTCATAGCTCAAAGACAACTTCTACAGGAAGAAAAACATCTGTTATTAGTAAAGCCCTAGTTAGTCATAACCTCTGCTTCCATTTAAAAAAAAAAATAAGCAATACAAGTTTGTCTTTAAATTATCTCATAAAGTCAAAGTACTATCATGGCATATTAGGGATCAAACCCTAGTCTAACTAATATCACTGAATACCAGCCTACAACACAAACAACATGATTTCTACTATGCAGACAGTAGACAAAAACACTGAACCAAACCCCAGTTCTAACAGGAGACCCTCCCACCTGTGTAACATCAAGTTATGGGTGCTCTGCAGGGAGGAGCATCTCAGAGTCTGAGGTGACCAGGCTTTGTCACTAAGAAACTTAAGATCTAACTGGCTCTCAAAAAATTAAAAAACAGCCAGGTGCAGTGGTACACACTAGTAATCCCAGCAATTTAGGAGGCACAGACGGCAGGATCACAAGTTCAAGGCCAGTCACAGCAACTGTGACCCTGTTTTAAAAAATAAAGAGTTTAGGATACAGATCAGTGGTAAAGTGTTCCTGGGTTAAAACCCAAGTACCACCCTTAAATAAATAAATAAAAATAAAAAATAGAACTACCCTCTGACCTAGCAGTCCCTCTTCTGGACATCCACCAAAGAAAGTGAAGTGAACCGGCACCTTATGGAAGCACCTGTGCTCCCAGCTCACTGCAGCATTTCTCCCAGGAGCCACAGTAGGCAGCAACCTGGGGTCTGTTGACAATTAAGAGAAACTGTGGCGTACTCATACAGTGGAATCTTTTTCACCATTAAAAAAAAATATCTTGCTATTTGCGACAACAGGGATGAACCTGAAGGACATTTAGAATAGAGAGCAGAACAGGTGTGACCATGGGCAGGACTGGGGGCGCGGGGAGATGTAAGCCGAGGGTACGAAGCTGCGGTTCCTTTGATAAACGAGTGTGCAGCTATCGTATAGAACAGGGACCAGTGCTAACAATCTTACAATATACGCTGGAAATTTGCTAAAACATAATTTCAGGTTCTCTTAACACCAAAAATATATAAAGACAACTATGTGGGATGATAAATCTGTTATCTTGCTTGACTGTAGTATTCATTTCTCTATGTGTATTTATATCAAAAACAGCAGCACTGTGTGGGCCAAAACCCAGAGACATCACATAGACACAAACACAGCACAAAAATAAAACAACACATTTTTATGAATTAAAAAAAAAGTGACTAATTATGAAGGGAGCAAAACAACATGATGAATTTGCAAGTGACTTTCATATACTCAGCCCAACATTCTCAGAGTTGTGGAAAATCTAAAAACAAGAAGACCTGAATACTGTTCAGATTTTATGTAAGGATGTAAAAGGATGCTTTATATTTGGAAAGATATAAACAGTAGCTACTCAAAAATTATGCTGGAGAAACAGATACACATGGATCAGCCAACAGTCTAAGATAGGATACAGTCAAGTGCCCAAATTTAAGATGTGTCATAAGACCCTAAGAAACTGGAGAGGGAAAGATCAACGGTAGGTGGAGTGATCCATTAGGAGATGAACTTAGAGGTTCAGAAAACCTAAAAGGCATGATGAAGACATCCTTGCTTAAGAAACTGAATCAAAAAGAAAACAAGAGTAAACATCAAGGAGATTAAAAATACTCTGAAAAGTACAAAGGAGTGGTAGAGAAACAGGTTTAGACCACAGGAGTTCAGATCAAAAGAAGCCCTTAAAAGCCAAGCAGGGCGGTTTGGTCTTGAAGCAGGAAAAACTAAGGACAAATTAATATTCCAAAGCGGGCAGATGGGCTGAGGAAAGTGGAATTTCAGGAAAATTAATTTGGCAAAGTTCCTCCCTGTATTCTATGTCCCTTAAACATCTGGATTCAAAGTCGCACTCTCAGCTGTAATACCTCTCCTTTTTGCAACAGCTGCCAATTCTGTCAGTCACACTTCACACATCTCTCATCCTCCTTTTACTCCCACTGCGAAGATCCCAGTTCAAGCCCACACTGCCCTCTCCATTCCTAGTCTTCCCTATCTGTTCTTATTTCTACTGGTGACACTGGGAACTGCTGACAAAGACATTCCTAAAGAACAGCTTATGATCACGACACTCTCGATGAAACTCCTCAGCTGGTTCTCTGCTCCTTGAGCAGCATCAAGCCCATGCATGGATCCCTGCCACCTCGAGGCCTACGTGCTTACACTGGCCTGGATACCTCTATGTTAGAGACTCAAACTGCATGATCTTTTCCACCTCCCTCTTCTGCCCAGAATGCATTTCTTCTCTAGCTTTCTCTTTTAAATCCTTACCTACTGACAGCTGAACAGGCTATTTGGAGGTGGGGCACAATTAGGAAGTAGGCCACTGGAAGTACAAATTTGAAGTCTATCTTGTCCCTGATCCCCTCAGCCTTGCACGTCTCCTCCCTCTCCCCGACCCAACTCTGTTTCTTGGTTGCCAGAGTTGAGCATCCTTCCTCTGTCACACCCTTCCATCATGATGTCCTGCCCAACAGTGCATCAGAGCAGCTAACCATGGTCTGAAATCTCTGAAACCATAAGGCAAGGTAACTCTTTCCTCCTTTAAGTTGGTATTTTATTACACTGACAAAAAGCTAACACAATATAAACGGTGTTCGAGGCCTTCTTCGACCTGACCCCTGTCTGTCTCTTCACCCTCAACTCTCCTGACTACCTGCTAGGTAGTTAATTCTCCAGGAGTACCACCACTGCATATAACATCATAGTATTTTCTTCTCAGTGGTTTGAATGATGCTGATCCCTTTGTCATTTTATTGTGACTAGCCAGTTCATATTATGAGATTCCTAATCTCAAGGAGATCTGCTTTAACACTTGTGTTAGGTTAATTATCACTACTCTGTGCTTCTGGATAACTTGATTAGCCAAATCATATTATATGCTTAACTATGACTGTACACTGTACCCTTTCTCCAGTAAAGTATAAGCTACATTTGTTTTTATTCACTCTTATACAATTACATCCAATAAATGTTACCTTAACTAATGTTGACCTCAAATAAAGACAGGCAATACTGTGAATGAATATACTAATGAAATGCAGAGACCACATTTCTGGTACAGCTAAAGATGACAATTGATAACACTGAGGTCTAACAAGTTCAGTCTCTGTGAGCCTTACACCTTTCATCACCAAGCAGTCAGCTTCTGGGAGGGTGGAGGACTCCTGATTCAGGGTCTGAGGAATTAGGCTCCTGTTTCCTTCTCACCCTCATGTCTTCTGCTTAGGGTGTACTGGGTGCTGCTGGACCTGGTTCAACGACCATAAGGTTAGCAATATTATTGTGTTAATGTAGAGATGAATGTCACTATTGTGTCTTCTAGAAGGAGTAGGGGGCAACATTATAACAGAGAACAAGGAATAAAGCAGGCAGAACCCCAAGGGATGGAGTGGGATCCTAGAGGTAGTTCCATCCCAAAGACCTTTAGATGGAAGACTTAAGGAAAACTACATGTGGCCAAAGACCCAGAACAAGGGGGTATGTTCGAAAGCAGTGTTCATCTAAGAGACAGCTTAAATGGTAGTACATTCTAAAAGTGGTAATATATACCACGATAAAGCATAAAATCCAAAGGATGACTCCACAGTAAAGTCACTGAAGAAGTCTGTTCCTACCCCTGTTTTTTTCACTCTTCTCTCCCATCCTGGAGGTGAATAAAAATGCATATCAACAATCTTGCTTTAGTGGGGGTCAGGGGGGAGAATAAAAAAATAGCTTTAAACGTACCTTTGATTTTTTGTTCAGTGGCCTAAAATAAAAACAAACAAACAAAAAACAATGTAAATATGAAACTGAAAGAAATGGATTGTTATGATAAAATGCTCATATATTACTGTTATATAAAACATATACACTTTTATTTAAAAAGGGAATTTGTCACTTAGATGAATTGCATGGGAAAAGATATGCAAAGAAAGCATGCTTTTCCCATAGATGTGCCCCATTGTCCCTGATACTATGTTCATTAAAAAAAAAAAAGGAAAAAAAATGTAACATTTCTTTACACATAAAGCATAGACAACACTGTATTACCATATTTAATTTTTAAAACGGGAGCTGCACTTTTCTCATCATTTAGTTTAAAATGTTTTTTTATGTAATTTTCACTTTCTCACATAATGGATTTAATAGACCTCTGCATGTTTAAATGGCTTCAAAATTTGTTACAAATGATAAAAGACAAATTAAGTTTTAAGAAAAGCTACGTATAATCACTTGGGCCAAATTAGTAATAAATTTAATTCCTGCAGGGTAAGTTACAATTACAGTTAAACACAGTCAACTTTTAAGTTATTTGTGAGTGGGAAAATCTTCAAAAACTAATGTCACTTCTGATACATCTGACAATTCACTAAAATTACTGTGATCAGAAGCTGAACTGACATGAACTCTGCTCTCACTACTTTCTAACCCTGCTCCTACACCAGGACGAAAGAGGGAGAGCAGGTTGCCTTGGGGTGCCTAGCCCAAACTTCCAAGGGCCTCCAGAACTGTAGACAGAGGGTCCCAGGCAAAAATCAACCTTTTCATAAGACCAATTGTATAGGAGACACAAGAACAGGCAGGCAGATGAGGAAAGACTGAGTAATTGGTAACTCGATAGCTAGGAATGATTTCTAAATGAAGACAAGCTAGTCATGGGGCATGGCAATTCATTTTGCTTAGTCATATTAAATTATTAAATTACCAAAAATTCCATTTTAATTAATATAATTATAGATATATATGGTAAAAACTGTAATAATTATTCTAATATTGAAGCCACACTAAATATTAATCTTTCCCTGGGGGCTGACCCTAGACACTGAAATGCTTCATAAAGTTTTAAAACATCACAGATTCATAAAATAATGGAGGCCCATCTTTTGCTCTATGAATAAAAATTAAAAGGAAAAAAACTGATGAGAGGACAATTTCAAAAGATCAGTCAACTAGCTTGACAACAGTTGATTTATTTCTGGGAAAAGTCATTTTTTAAAACCTGACAATAGGAAAAAACAAATATTCTTAGAATTTAGTAAGAACACTTTTAAGTATTAGAAGTATCATGTCAAATAATATGATACATAATTTTCTGAAGCTAAAGAATTAGTATAAAAATTGTATTGCATGTCAAAAACTTAAAAAACAAACAAACAAAAAAACCTAAACCGGTCTCTTCCAAAGGAAACTAAATTGCAGGACATAAAAACCATGACCACATTGTTAAAATCCAAGACATACAGTGATGCTCCTCTAAGTCTCACAACATAAAGGTCATGTGCCAGCAACTCCTTTGGAAAAACTCTTCAATGTTGCCACCAGAACAATGGTCAGCCTCATGTAATAGCCTCTCATCTATGGAGAATGGCACTGAAGAGATGTCCCTCGCACAGTGGCTTAATATAAACAAGGAATGTAAGTAATAGAAACCAACAGCACCTGATTAGGGGAAAGGGAACTAATAAGAGCTCTACTTCTATGAAGTAAATTTTTGTGGGATGATCTATTAAAATGAGAATTTTCCCAAATGGGCTCAGTGAATTTAATAGCAATTTTCTGCACTGTTCAAAACCATCAGTCACATGTGGCTATTGACCACTGAAATGTGGCTAGTCTAAATTGAGACATGCAAAATGCATACTGGATTTCTAATATTTAGATTTTTTTTTTTTTTTTTGCAGTGCTAGGATCGAACCCAGGGCCTTGTGCATGTAAGGCAAGCACTCTACCAACTGAGCTATGTCCCCAGTCCCCTAAAATTTAATATTTTTAAAAGAATATAAAATATCTCTTTGGTGGTATTTTGGTTCTTTGGGGTTCCAGAAAATGTTAAAATATCTTCATTTTGTTTTAAAATGACCTTGTCATTTAAACCTCTGGGTCTCAGTTTCCTAGTCCCTCCAATGGAAAAAATAATTGTCCTGTCACAATACCTTTCAGGGCTACTGTGAGGGTTAAACAATAAAGCATGAAAGGTCTTTTTTGGAAAACAAAACACTACATATTATTTAAATAGGAGGGATCATTGTAGATCTTCCTGCACAAGAAAGTTAAAAGGTTCTGGCAAACCTATAAGCAACTGTGATTTCCATTTTTAATGTTTTTTTCTTAAGAAAATCTGAGCTGATTCCATAATCAATTATCACAACTGCCCTGATTCATTAAAGGCAGCATCAGACAAGTGGCTGGGTACTCTGACAGCTCTGCACTGCTTTCCCAACTCCCCAATCCTAAACATACTTCAGTCGTTAAGAGCCTATGTCTGAAGCCAGATTGCCTGGCTTTGAAACCTGGCTCTACTGCTTATACTATGTGACCTTAACTTAAGTTAACTTCTCTAAAACTTGTTTTCCTCATACACACAACATGGGCAAAACGGCCCACCTCAAGAGTTGCCTTGAGGCTGAAGGCATGCGACTCAGACAGTGCCTGGCCTACAGAAAACATCTACTAGAAGCTGCTCCTTCTGTCATCAGCCCTACCTGCCCCTTCTTAGGCTCAGTCTTTCCTCCTGCATTTGGGATAAACTGACCCTACAGTCATTACCAGTCCCCCGCTCTAGTCTTTCCATTTTTCTAACCCTTTACAAAGTCTCAGCAGTGTGAGAATAAAGACTTCATCTAGTTCAATTCACATGTACTGCATGGGATAATGACTGATGAGCAAGCTTCCCTGTGATTCAGCAGACAGCACCCAGTCAAGGACGAAGGTCTAATGAATAAAATGAGTTTTTAAAAATGAGGGAGGAAAAAAGAGTAATGTGGAATCAGGGCAGGACTGTAAGAGAGTATTTAACTGCCCCAAGTGAGTGCACAGCCCTAGCCTGGTCATGTCATCACCAAGGTCACCAAGAAAAGGTACTTATTAGACTGCTTAATTGACCCCCCTCCCAAAAGGGGAATGAGGTTTTCTAAAACCTAAGTCTCATTTAAACCTGACTTTAGGTCCACATTAGTCAATAAAGCCTATAAAAATCCCTTCAGATCTTAACACAGTAACAACAAAAAAACCCACGAATGGTGAGACATTCTGACACTAAAAGATCCCAATTTGCACTGCTGCTTCCCCCAGCCCTCAACCATTATGTGCTTTCCAGGAACTACAATCACGAGCTTCAAGTAAAGCTTATACTAAATTATCCCTCTGTAATTACCTTATTTTCAACCTCCTTTTTCCACATTACAGTTCCCTTAAGATCCTTCCAAGAATTTTTCTCTAAAGACAGAACTTGGAGGGAGAGGCACGGTAACCTGCTGCTACTGTTCTTGTACCCCTGGCCCCTAAAGTATGAAAACTGCATTCCCATGTTCTAGCTGATTATTGTCTAAGTCTAAGAATCAGAAAATAAGAAAACAGCCCTAATTCTTAGATGTGAGGGATAACTTTTTTTTAGATATAAAGAACTCACAAAACAAAGTCATACAACCATTGATCTTCATAGTAATTAAGAGATTAGGACTGAAATACAATAAAAATCATCCAACTGTTAATAAACTATCTTTAGAGAAAAAACAAATATTCAAATTTATACTTAATAAACAAAAAAAGAAAAATTCTCATGGTAAAAATACTGTAGTGAGTCTTGTAGGTGTCTAATTGTTTATCAAAGAAGTTGTGTTACCTGGTTTTCATTTAAAATAGAAAATAACCCACGGTATGAATTTAAACTTCTTTAAAAGACCAATAGTGGCTATTAGGAATAGTCAAATCTACGTATTTTCTCTATTCATGGCATAAGGGCCTATTTTATAATGTTATAAAAATTATTGTAATATATTATTTCCCAATTTTAAAGTTCAGGATAATATTCTGCATCAGAAGAATACAGCCATGGCACTGGGTTTTGAAAAAAAGCCCCAGCTGGAGGGATCAGAGGACTTCCATTCTATTCCTGGTTCTGTCACCATTATAAAATAAAGGTCAGCCACTTAATTTTTAGGTTCCTTATATTGAAAGTGAGACTAGACAGATAACATCTGAAGTCTTTTTCAGAAATGAAAGTATGCTTATGTGTATATATGATATATATAATACCAAAAAACAAAACAGGCAGACTGTTTATACTGTAATGAGTTTGTGTTCCAACACTTATGTAAATGGATCTGCCCACCTGGCTCAGTCTGACAACTGTCTCCATACACCTGCTGGCTGCTACTAGCTTGTCTTAAAACTCTTGTGACTCACAATCGTTCACATGGGCTATAAGTGTGCCAATTTGGGAGTTTCTTTTCTCATTTTTTAAAAGAGCTATTTGGTAGTAGTCTATGGAAATACCACTGTCCTTACGTCATCAACAAGTTGTATTCCAATTCGTTGTAAGCTGGTTTTCTAAAATTTGGAGAATAGTTATATTTACAGTACACCTCAGGCTATGAACTTAACATTTATTGATTTTAGGTACTAAACTTTCCTTTATGTTGTGGGGTAGATACCACTATGTGTCTATGGGATTCACAGGAATACTACTGATACTGAAGATACACAAAAAGAAACAGACTTCCTGTCTCTGAAGCCTCTGATGATGGTTCTGGAGGACACTGTAGGGCTCAGAGACTGGAGGCATGAAGTAAGGCAGGATTGAACTAGAAAAAGGGTTGAAAAATTGTCACTTCAGATTTCATGAGAAGTCAAATGGCACACTAATCACCATTCATGTGCTAGAGAAAAATGTATGCTGGGCACACACAGGGTCTACTTTCACTGAGTTGAGGATTTATAAATTTGATTATGAAAGAATATAAAGATGAATTTTTAACAATTAGAGCCACCATTCCAGTGTCCTTTCCCTTTCTTGGAATTTCAACGAATTGAGTAAATTCCACACAAACACACTTGGATATACCTTAGACCTCTTCTCTAGCTCTTTCACATACATTGTGATTTACTAGCTGAATCTTGAAATTGTTAGGTGCTACAACCAACCAGGCCTACTAAGACGCTTGGATGTGCTGGCCAAACTACTGACTTTATATGAAACACACTCAAGCATCCTCCATCAACCCTTAATTATCTAAGAAGTTCCCATGGGTAAATGACCTTCAAACATGGAACAAGAGTCTGATTAGCCTTCCCCCAACCTTAGGCTTACAGAGGACACAACTTTTTCATAAGTTCTAAGCAAAGACTGATATAACTGTGAAGAGACTGTCCTATATAAACAAGTCTCTTGAAACAGACTGAATTTGGGGGACCCTCTAAAATTAGGAGCAACTTTCTCATGCTGGGCCTAAAGGCTGAAGGGCTGTAACCCATGGCCTATAGGGCATCAAGCAAGCTGAGGATGGAGACTTACTCTCCCCAGGCCTGTCCAGCACAGGCTAACTAAACCAGCACAGATCTATTTCCTATCTTTTGTTTCACTTTGCCACTTCTCTTTAAAATCTTTGTTCCCCTCAGAGCTTCCAAAGATAGAATTTTTGAAATGAAAAGTTCCTTCTATCTTTCTTCAAAGCAGGCTTTGAATAGAGCCTGTTTTCCTATCAATTTGACTCTGAATATTTCTAGCGCAATAAGCAGTATACCCTACCCTCTTCCTATGTCAGTATTAGTGACTCTCCCTGGTCTCACCCCCAACAGTTTTGGCAAGTTCCAACCAGGAGTAAATATCTAGCCCTGAAGCAACATATCTCAAGTTGGTGATGATCTCTCAGGAAGATAAGGCTCAGGAGTCAAATGCTTGCCACTAGTCAAATATGCAGTTGAAATTTCAGGGAAAAAATTCCAAGCAGCTGCAGGAAATAAATAAATCCTAGAGAACTTATCCCTATCCTTCCTACTGAAGCCTTGACTGCATAAAATCCTTCACTGGTCAGGATGGGCCATGTTGGTTATCTATGCAGATGCACACTGAGGATTTTATCTCTGTTGTTTGAGGTTTTGGACTTGAGTTTTGTGGTGTTGGGCAGTGTGAGATAACAAGCTCTATCTGGGCACCATCTATGGCCTGAGTGAGCCATCTAGGGCTTGACTAAGCCACCATTTGCTTTGGGTGTACCAGTCTGTACTGGTGCATTTTAGAGAATGGAAAAACTCCCCCAACAATTAATATTGGTATTGTTTTGGAAAAAGATCACAACGTAGTCTATATATCTAAAAGTGCCTGCTACTTTAAGACAACTGTTCTACATGTTTGCTACCCTGACTGACATTGTCTTATCAGGCAAAAATTCTGATGACTGCAGCAACAGATTTATCTACTAAGGGAGGGAATCATTTCAGAAGAACTATACCAAGTTCCTGGGTTGAAAGGAAAGATGCCACCCAAGCGGGAGGAGCAGTCTCCACTCTCAACAGACCTGTGGTAGGCGGTAGGGGGGTTGGGGCGCCGGCCTGGAGCTTTACGCTCAGCATGAGGAAGTTGCTCTCCATTTTAGAAGGACCCCCAAATCCAGTCTGTTTCACTGTGACACACAGCTACAGACCCTTCTGGTCTACTCTGCTTGGGACCCTTACTATTCCACTCCTCATTCACTAGACTAATTTCTAGTCTACGAAACTTTCCCACCCCTTTGCCCCGTTTCAGGGTGTCAGACACCCACCTCTCTGTGAATCAACAGTTTCCCATAAATAAACACCTCGCCTACCACAGTCTTGTACCCTGTGCTTTTCCTTTATTAAATAATGTGGAAATGAGTATGTTGCTACAGTATCTACTCAGTTTCCAGCATGGAAAAGATTTATATTACAAATCAAAGAAATCATTTTTCATTAAAATAGAGAAATGGAACAGTAATTTCACTGGATCTTCTAAAGTATTTGGAACCTCGATATGGTAGATACATGAATTTAATTAACTATCATCAGCCATTAGTATTAATAACTTGTAAATAATTTTATAATTAAAGACATAGTCTTTTATTTCTGCCTGAACTTTTATTGTTTTGGTTATAATTTTCTTAGATTTTACTGGCTACAGTTCTTTTGCAGTAAATAATGTTTTAAGCTAATTTTAAAGTATCTTAATATAAACTGCAAATTTTAAAAATCTGCTGAAGTACCAAATACAAAAGAAAAACCAACACTTCATTCCCTATTATGTCTGTTTCCTTAAGTACTGTATTCTTGTATTACTTTATTTCTTACTATGTGTATACACCAAAATCTCATTAAATTCAAACCTCATTCTATAAGACATACGGAAACTAAGGCCCAGAGAGGTTAAATAAAATTTAAGGCCACACCATCCATGTGCTAGGTGGGAAAGTGAAGTTTTGAATTCTCTCTAAATGGGTACAAAACTCTATGCTCTTCCCACTTATAAAACTATGTACTAAAAAATATCTAGAAACAGCTAAATATAAAGACCTATGTAATATACTTACCTTTAAAAACCTATTGGCAAGATGAAATAACTATGCATTAAATTGCATACTCAGCAAGCTACTTTATATGCATATTCAAAGACATTAAATATTAAGATTAATCTCATTGAAGTTAAAACATTAAATCAAATGCTTTTTAAAGATCAGATCGATTTTTTTTGTCTATAAACTGCTTAACATGAAGTGTGTACACACTACCTTCTTTTGAGCAGCTTCCTTCTTTTTCTTGTCGTCTTTTTTCTTTTTCTTTTCTTCCATCAACTGTTCTTCTTCTTGCACTAAATCCCTGAACCACACAGTTGCAATTAACTTTCCCAAAATATATTAAGAAATAAAAATAATGTTGCATACAGGTTCATTTTTACTTATTAGAAATAAAGGCATGGCAAATTTTTCTTTTTCTTTTATCACCCACTGAAATAAAACACCTAAATCTAACTATAAGATACAATTCACATTTCTTTAATTAATAATGGAGCCTTTTTTCCATAATCAAGAGTTTTTATCATAACGTTACATCATGGAACACAATCTAAAATTAGCAAATTTTCCATTGGGAAATAAGCAATTTCCTCCAATTCTAGATCGTAAACAACATCAGGTAAGTTACCTTGCTACTGGCCCCCGTCATCAATCAATAGTTAGTGGAGATACCTGGGACCTCTCCTGCCATGGTATCTGGGAGTAGCTTTGGCTTTCCTTGCTCTAAACATCTTTATAAATACTTTAGAGTATATATAATTCACAAACAGGTGACACGTATTTCAGCATTACAATAATTTGTAATTGCTACAAACATTTTAAACTATTCTATCAATTCTTGGAAAATAATCAACATGGACTCTTTATATGTTTGTTTAAATTTCTGAATTCAAATCTTCAAAGTTGTGAACAGAATCTTCCATTCAGGATTTCAAAATGACAGACTGGGCAAATGTGTTAGTGTCCTCCTTTACCTCACTGAGATTCAGGGGGAAAAGTCATCACCCTATTCAGAACTGGTGACTGACAAGAGCAAAGAAAACCACATCCGAGGACAAACCCAGGAGCAGTCTTAGATGAACCTGCCCCCTTTTTGGTGGAGCTCTAGACAGGCTCCAAGATCAGAAGAGGGATGGGGCAAAAAGATCACATAGGAAATAGAAAGGCCATGGCTATGCCCGCTCCCCACTGCTGACCCCCTGCCTCCACGGCTACAGGGAGCAACATTTTTAAATCCAGCCACCGAAACCCTCTGAAGAACACATTCCACCGGAGGCTGGTGGGCTCCTGCAATGGGTTTGGTTGTCTCAAAACAAAGCCCTCTTACTGGAGGGTACTGCTACCTGCTCCACGACACCCAAACCGAAGCCTGCCAATCAGCACTCTTCACACACACAGCACTCACTTGGCATGAACCCTCTCATTCAAGATAGGAATCCACTGGGTAAAGAAATCTCTGAGGGAGGCTGAGACAGGAGGATCCCAATTTCAAGGCCAGGCTCAGCAATTTAGTGAGACCCTGTCTCAAAAATTAAACAACAACAAAAAAGAAATCCATGTAAAGGCAGAGGAAATTCACTTCAGATACCTCTATTAATTGTCCTGAATTCTTGAACCTAAGAAGTCCATTCATAATACCAACAATCAAAAATCACTAGACACTTGAAGAAAACCATATCCCCCGCGCTCTGCCCCCATACATACATACCACTCAACTCCATTCTAAGGAAGCTTTCCAGAAGGAACACTACAAGTATCAGGCAGACAATGAGAAAGGTTCGGGATGTGAACTAGGCACCTGGAGGTATGAAAGTCATCATCAAGGCTGGGACGCACAAGGTAGTGGGGGGTGTAACAGAAGATAAAATCAGAAAGAGGCAAGTACGCAAGAAACGGCAAGAGGTGCTACAGGTGCCATGCAACGAGCACAAACAAAATTAAGTTGGCTTTTCTGAAGGAAGAAACTAAAAGGAAACATAAATAGTGAGAGAGGAGATGAGTAGCATTATGCACCACAGATGACATTTAGTGAAGTTGGCCATGTGGCTGCTAACAGCAGCTAAAAGTTGAAAGAAGAGCAGAAAAACTTGCTAAATTCCTTGTCATTTTGTTATGAGTGGATCTGTCATGTGGCTAATGGATAGTAACACAGACTCACGCCAATGTACTGTGACTCACTCCTGGGATCTGGGAGAGGGAGACAGTAAGAGTGCACAAACTCATTCATGCCCCAATCCCGGGGCAGCCCAGGACTGGGGCAGCCTCCACCTGTGACTGGGGCAGAGTAAAGCAGTGAAGGAAACTAGGTCCAACGAAGAACTCAAGAGCCAAAGCTGACTGTTACCTCTAAGTACTTAACCTTCTTCAGCCTCAGCTTCCTCCTATCAAAACTGGGGATAAATAACCATAAATGTCTATTTCATGGTTTTTAAAATAAAGATTAGGTAAGGACTACTACTTAGTACAAAGTTCCCAGTAAGCATGCAAAGAGCCTCACTGATTCTCAGTGGTGTCCAAAAGACTGTCTAGCCCTCTGTGTCAAGACGTCATTCAGCATTTAATCTTCCTGTCCTGTGAATTACAGACAGGTCCTTTTCTGAACTTCTATGCCACAGTACTTTGACTCTGTGGGATGTTCTCTATCTGGAATGTTTTCTCCTTTCTCAAACCTTATTTTACAGACTTTTTGAGGAGATTAGCAACTGTTTTCCTGGCCACAAACATTCTTCTTGGTACTTAAAAGGCGTGCCACATTTCCTCTCGAGCAGATACAATAGCAGCTGATATTTTAAGCCTAGGAAACAAAATCCAGTTCTTCAACACTGTTCCCAGAGCCAATTAACCATGCTTTCCCCCCATCTCCTACCTGAGGAAATCAAGTGGAAAAATACATATATCAATGCACCAGTTGTGCTCAAACACATCTGCTTCCAGAATTTAAATGCTAGTAGAGATTAAGACATTTAATTACAACAGTTATAGTACCTATCAAAAGGAATAAAGGGCTGGGCATGGTAATGTACACCTGTAATCCCAGCAGTAAGAACTGGCAGGATAGACCTAAAGGGATCGGTCCTATTTGACTTTCGCTCTACAAAGACAACTTTCCTGCCAGCAATCGTCTACCCCTTAAAGGTCAGGGGCAAGAAACCGTAAACCTGCCTCATTGCTTTATAAAAATTAAGACTCCCTTTTGATTAGAACTTGATATTCTTATTTACTTATACCTTGTACCACATGTACAAAGCCTTTGAGGTAGCTATAAGAATCCATCCCTCTGAGGGAACTTTCTAGGAAGAAGGAAATGTTTGCTAACTTTACTGGATTTTAGGAATGCAGTTACATGAGGGTATACATCTTTCAAGTCAATCACCTATACAATAAAAATGTGTGAACTTTGCTGTACATAAACTATATCTTGAAGTTAATTTTAATACATAGAATGGGGGGATACAATATTTAAATTAGGTAAAATACACATATTAAGATTAAGGTGGTATTCTCCACATAATTCTTCAACTGTTGTCGTTGTAAAGCATGCATCAATTTTTGAATTCATCTTCCAGTGATCAATAAAAATCATTTATTTGTAGGTCTAGGAATGAATTTCCTCAACAAGCAATGACAGTTTTATCTGTGTTGACTGCACCCTGTTCAACAATTACGCAGGCCAATTTTAGAAAACTCTCTCCTCATTAATCCAAAATCTACTTCCCTGTAATTCCCAATCACTGGTCCTAGGAACCTAGGAAAGAAAACAAACCTGAGCGATTAAAATGTTACAGTGACTATACAGGACCTTTTTAATGTTTTCTAATTTAGCTACTCATTTTTTTATGATAGGTTAAAAAAATCTCCCTTTTATAGATGAAGAAACGAAAGCACAGAAAAGTGACTTTGTTCAAAGTCATATGCTAATACAGGGTGGAGTCAGGACTCATCTCTGTTTTCTAAGTCTCGGTTGTCTTTTCACTATTCTGCTATCTCCCTAACCCCAAGTAAAGTACAGCCTTACTAGATCTCTTTTTCAGGAGTTACAACACAGGGGTGGGAGTTTGGCTCAGTGATAGAGTGGTTGCCCAGTATGCACGAGGCCCTGATTTTATCTCCAGCAGTGCCTGCATGCGCACACACACATCACAGGGAAAGGTCATCATTTTGTCATTTTGATAGGTTGTAATAAATCTTATTTATGACATAATTTTCCCACAGACGGAATGCCTTCTAATTTCCCTACAACTTTCACAGGAACTCTTTCAACAAAATACACTGCAGAAAACACAAGTATTAGCATTCCACGAACCATGGGTATATAATTAGGAACAAGAACAGCTAATGTACCAAGTTAGAGAGACTAATTGCCACTGGTTTTAACAAGAGAGGCCCAGGCATTGGTGATCTGAAGAAATGAGGCCTCTACTAATGTAGTAAAGTCCCACATTTGAGGTTTTCCATAGTTTAAAGGCGGGGTGGGGCAGGAAGGTAACTAGAAGGCCAGGAGAATTAGCAAAAATTTCTGTTCTTAAAATGTTAAGTATTTTTAGTTTTAAAAAGTACTAAATGAGGGCTGGGATTGTCACTCAGTGATACAGAGCTTGTCTACCATGAGTGAGGCACTGGGTTTGATTCTCAGCACCACATATAAATAAATAGAATAACAACTAAAAAAAAAATTAACTAAAAAAATTTTTTACAAAAAGTATTAAATGAGTGAATGCTAGTTTTTAAAAACAAAAGAATTGGTTGAACACAGTGGTGCATACCTGTGAGTCCAGTACTTGGGAAGCTGAGGCAGAAGGACCCCAAGTTCAAAGTCAACCACGGGCAACCTGCCCAGTCACAAAATAAAAAAGACTGGGAATGTAGCTTAATGGTAGAGCGCCTCCGTAGCATGCATGAGACCCTGTGTTCTATCCCCAGTACTGCAAAACAACAACAACAAAAAACCACCTCCCCACACACAATAAATAACAACAACAAAAAAACCCAAAAGCACTAAAAGGCTATTCTCCTGTTTCTAGGTGTCACGAGTACATGATATATTTGCTAAATCTTTTCTGTATCTACTGAAATGTTTATATGGCCTTTCACTTTTGATCAGTGGACATAATGAATGTGTCAATAAATTTTCTAAAGTTGAACAGAGCTTGAATTTGGAAATATAAACCCAACTCAATATTTTTAAATAAACTGCTAAATTTTATTTTTCAATAATGAAAAAGTACTGGCAAAAAATGTTCAAGGTAAAAGTTCTGACAAGAATGAAGAGAATTCTTATATTATTGGTGGGAATAAGAACTACTA